AAAATAGTCAAACAACAAAGCTTCGGAGTCATTGAACTACGTCTGACCTGATTTCCAAAGGATACGTAGGCAGCCTTACCCTGGGTTCGGTCCTATCAGAACAAAATATCCATATTCCTAATACTCCAAAACTGGGGCAGAAGTTTGTTTTATTTTACGGTTTTTCCCTATAAAAACGGTTCCAAAAGTTGTAATTCAGTTCAAGGTTCTTTTCGCTTTTTCCCTGTTAGGAACTTTTGATCGATCTTTGAAAATGTTTGAAGTCCCCATGCCAAGAGCATTGGGCAACCTCCCGTATGCAGTATCTTAAAAAAAAGAAAAAAAAGAAGAGAAGAAATGAGAGAGTCTTATCGGTGAAAACCCATGCGGTCACTATAAGGCGACAGTGAGTAGAGAAATAAGAGAGTCTTATTGATGAAAACCCAGATGGGCACCATAAGGCGACGGTGAGTAGATAAATGAGAGAGGCCAGTTAGCGAGAACCCGCAAAGGGCGTTACTAGCCGAATGAGGGTCTACAATTCTCCCGCATGGGCACAACCAAGACAATTTCAAGATGAACATTTGCGACGGATTTTGAGAATTAGACAGCTCAGACGGATCAGGCGTCCAGTCCAAAATGCATGTCATGATTTATTGAAGTCGGCACATACCTCCAGATAAGTCTCCCTATTCCTTTCCCCAAAAGGGAAACCTTTTGTTTAAGCACAGTTCTTTTTCACTTCCAATTATTATTCTATTTTTACCCATAATTTTTCTTTGAATCCCTTTCGGTCTAATCGTGCATCAAAAGCGAAGCAAAGAAATGGCTGCAAAACTGGCTACGATTTTCCCGTAATATCGAGCACAATTTGGGGCATGTATGGCATTGACGAAGGAACCAATCCATATGTGATCTCATTTGATTAGGCGAACAAAGTGTCTCAAAGAAACTAAAAAGGTCCCCTAAGCAAGACCTGCTTCATGAGAAAAGTTGATAAGCACTACGAACACAAACTGATACCGGGTGCAAGACAACTGAGTTTGATTTTAAAGAAAAATTGCCTTGGAGATAAGGGTGGCGGTACCATGGACATCTGGGTGTGAAACAGTTGGGGGCAACATTGGAAAGCCAAGGTCTCCAGAAAATGATACAGAGCAGTCGAGCATCTCGGTACCACGCTGACAGAATCGGTTCTTCGACAACAGTGGCCGTGAATCAAACTACTCAGGGCATCAAGGCCACAAACCAACCACCACTTTAAAAACTCACAAATTTTTCTTTGTTTGAAGCAGGAACAAAGCAGTGCAGAATGGCGATTCTAAAAGAACGAATGTCACCAAACGTAAGCTCTTTAAAATCTCCATTTTCTTTTATTTTCAGCATGCATCACTATTGTTCACACCTCCCATTTTCGTAGCTTAACACAGGTAGAACCATTTCGCCTAGGGGGATCCAGCTCATATTTTCGGGTAGAAGTACTCTTCACTCAGGGTGTTTTACGTAGCTTAACTCAGGTAGAACCGTTTCACCTAGGGGATCCAGCTCATAGTTCTGGGTAGAAGTAATCTTCGCTCACGGTGTTTTACGTAGCTTAACTCAGGTAGAACCGTTTCGACCTAGAGGGATCAAGCTCATATTTCTGGGTAGAAGTACTCTTCACTCAGGGTGTTTTACGTAGCTTAACTCAGGTAGAACCATTTTGCCTAGGGGGATCCAGCTTATAGTTCCGGGTAGAAGAAATCTTCACTCAGGGTGTTTTACGTAGCTTAACTCAGGTAGAACCGTTTCACCTAGAGGGATCCAACTCATAGTTCTGGGTAGAAGTACTCTTCACTCAGGTTGTTTTACGTAGTTTAACTCAGGTAGAACCATTTTGCCTAGGGCGATCCAGCTCATAGTTCCGGGTAGAAGTACTCTTCGCTCAGGGTGTTTTATGTAGCTTAACTCAGGTAGAACCGTTTCACCTAGGGGATCCAGCTCATAGTTCCGGGTAGAAGAACTCTTCGCTCAAGGTGTTTTATGTAGCTTAACTCAGGTAGAACCGTTTCGCCTAGGGGGATCCAGCTCATAGTTCCGGGTAGAAGTACTCTTCATCAGGGTGTTTTACGTAGCTTAACTCAGGTAGAACCGTTTCACCTAGGGGGATCCAGCTCATAGTTCTGGGTAGAAGTACTCTTCGCTCAGGGTGTTTTATGTTTCTTAACTGAGGTAGAACCATTTCGCCTAGGGGGATCCAGCTTATAGTTTCGGGTAGAAGTACTCTTCGCTCAGGGTGTTTTACGTAGCTTAACTCAGGTAGAACCATTTCGCCTAGGGGGATCCAGCTCATATTTTCGGGTAGAAGTACTCTTCGCTCAGGGTGTTTTACGTAGCTTAACTCAGGTAGAACCGTTTCACATAGGGGGATCCAGCTCATATTGCCGGGTAGAAGTACTCTTCGCTCAATTTGTTTTCATAGCTTAACTCAGGTAGAACCTTTTCGCCTAGAGGGATTCAGCACTTTATCAATATTACAAGGCTCCAAACCCTGGTTACATTTCTTCCTAGTAATAAAGGGCGCCGTCCCCTGGTTACATTTCTCTTCAGTAATACAGGGTACCAACCCCTGGTTACATCCCTTCCTAGTGATACATGATACCAACACATAATTACACTCCTTTTCGGTAATACAAGGTGCTAACCCCCGGTTACGTTTCCCTTCAGTAATACAGGGTACCATCCTCTAATTCCATTCCCTTTGGTAACACAGGGTACTACCCCGTGATGGCATATCTTCACATAGTAGTTTATACTACTGTCTTTGTCTTCCTTTTAGTAAATTAGATAATTTACAACTTTCTCTAATAACTCACAAAATTTTCCTAGTGCCAGACTGGGGCAGAAAATTTTTGTTCGTTTTGTTCGTCTTTGATGGCTTTGCAGGACCCTGCCGTAAAGCACATATTGTAGAGATTAAAGCTTGCAATTTCAGTTCTCATCAGAAGAAAGAAGATTGTTGATCATAAGACAGTTAGAGTTAGTTTCGATGAGGTGTCAGCAACTCGGCATCTCAAGATTCATCTTCTCAAGTTCTGAGAAGGAAATCAAGCAGTCGAGAACGAGCCATAATCTTTTCTTCAAAAAGGCATCAAGATCCAATCTAAGGTCAACACAAGCGAGCAGGTCAAGAATCAAGATTTGACTCCAGAAGACACATAGATAGGAATTTTGTACTCTTAGTTGGCAGACATATATAGTGCTCTTCTCTTTTTCTTTTGATGTGAGAACCGAGTAACAACAACAGCAACAACAGCAGCAGCGACAGTCTTAACTCCAATGTTCGGTAGTCCCAGCTACCAAATTTTCTCAGAACTACACCGACCTGATTCCTTTATAGCCAAGGATATGTAGGCAACCTCGGAAGCAAGGTTCGGTCACCTTTTTCAAAAATGCTTTCAGTGGAGTGATATTTGAGCAAAAATTAGCCATGGCATTCACTTTTCTTTACACGAAAACTCTCCATGTTCTCGAGCAAAGAGGGGCAGTTGTAAATGCCTAATTTTTGCTCTTGACTTTTTTTTTTTTACATTATAATTTTTAGAATTCTTATGTGTGTATTTTTAGGCTTTTAAATTAGATTATGTTAAATAATTTGATATGAGGGTTAGGGGATAGGGTTTAATCATTTGTAAAGCCAAAATTGGCCCAAATATTGGATCAAAACCGGTGGCCCAACAGCCCAAGACTTGGTCCATATGCTTTGGCCTAGAAGACTTCAAAACTATGTAGTTTTCTTAGTTTACTAAGATCAAATCCTACCCATCCATTCCATCTTGATCCAACAACTCTCATTCACTCTCTGCCCTAGGTATATAAAGCCTAAAATCCCAAAAAATTTGCCCCATTCTCTTATTACTCTCCCTCTTTCTTCTTCTTCTCTTTTTTCTATCTCCTCTCTACCGCCTCCACCGGCCACTGCCCATCTCCGCCGGCCGGAAATCGCTGCCGCCGGCGGACCACCTCCAATCAACCCCATTTTTTCACCCCATGCTCTCCTTAACTCCTTCTTTCCGAATCTCCAAGCTAAATTCCCCAAAAACCCCTCAAAATCCACAAATTTTAGATCTAGGAAACCCTAGCTGCCACATTTTTGCCAAAATTCGTGAAGTTCCGACCACCACCACCCTACAATACTTACATCAACGGAAAGAGCTCCTCAAGACCTATCAATTGATATCAATCTCAAGATGAAACTCCGACCACTAATTTTCCGGCCGCCGGCCATCCACCCTCTCCCCAATGCCGCGACCACCTCAGGCCACCACTGCCTCATTTTTTAGCCCACTCGACCTAAAGACTCATGTTCCCTTCTAGTATGATGCCAAAACTTACTTGTTTTGGGCCTTTTCTAAAAGGGAACTTGTGTTTTGGGGTCGGACAGGCGCCTCTTCGTATCCCGACGTCTTCTCGTGGCTCAGACAGTTTCAGGCATGCCCGTTAGGTATTATCGTCATCCCTTTAATTAATTTCTGATTTTTTTTAATATTAGTAAGTTAGTTTCTGATTATTTTTTTATTTTATTTTTGTTTTGGTTGTTTCTTGTTAATTGGAGTTTCAAGTTAGGATTGTTTAACTAGTTATCTCCATTTAGTTTAGTTATTTGTTAGATTATTATTGATTAAACGGGATCTTAGTGTATCATTTAAATCGTTTACTTAGTTAATCGATTGTTTAGTCGTTGAACGTCATCGTCCGATTGCTAGCAATGTTCGTCTAATTTTTGTTTTGAGCATTAGTCTGTGAATTCAGTTTGTTTGTTATATGGTTAGTTTGCACAAATTAATTTGTTTTAATCTAGTTCGTTTGGGTTTTTAGTTCCATTTGAAGTCTTGTTTCTGTTTTGTCAATTGCTAGTTGTGTGAGTTTTTTTAGTTTAAATTAATAGGGTAGTATTGATGTTGTTAAAATCTGAAGTTTTTATGGGTTTGATCATGACTTAGGGTACTAGTAGCTTACTTTTGAATAGTAGGGTGGCTGAAATGATATTTTTTCTCCTTGCTTCTGCTATAGCAGATTTTCAGGCTGTCCTTTCACCTTTCGGACAGCCTTTGAACAGTGTTTAGCACAAAAAGTCAGTCATTTTTGGATAAATTTTTGGTGAACCAAAATCTGCCCAAAAAGTGACTTTCTTTGCCTACTTAAGGGCTGCCCTTTCCTCATTTTACAGGCGGGATCTTACATTGAGAGATCATCTTTTACACTCTAAAAAAGACATATATCTTTGAGAAAAATGAGCAGCTTAATACATATAGCAAGCTGAAATTTCAGAGCTTTGTGAGTTTCTTAGAGTGAACCTTTGAGAAAAATAGAAAGATCCCTTAGGCAATTTGTGAAGTTGCTTAGCTACTAGTTTCAAGCATCTTTGTTGGTTTTCTGGGTTGTTTTAACACTGAGGTGCTGCTGTCTTTATTGCTGTGTTGTTGCTATTCTTGCTGATCCTACTGCTGTACTTTTATTATTATGCCACTCAGGTAACTCTTTAACCTTATGTTGCAGATATTTTCACATTAACAAGAAGATTTGAACTCATCTTGACTACTGGGGGCATGTCCATCTAGATAAATGAATGCTAGATAGTTTTCTTGATTGTTTAAGTATATCTTGTTGGATTCATATATAAAAATGAATCCCTGAATGTTCAAATAGTGTTTATTCATGTGTAGCTGGACTTTATTATCTAATATAGTTTCAATGCATGTAAAATGAGATGTTTCAAGAAGATTGTAATGTGTTTAAGGACAGTTTTTGCACCTTGCATAATTCTGGCCAGTTTATGTTAGGCCATTCTTTAAAGAAAAAAAACAAAAGAGTCATGCCTGAAAGCTTTAGTTTATTGTGATAAATTTTAGATTTCTACATGTGACCATAGTTTATTGTGATAAATTTTAGATTCTACATGTGACCATTTTTGTAAAGACCTTTTTTTAGAAAATGGTTAAGTCATTGAACAAGTGGTTGAGGTTGCAAATAAATTGAAGGTTTTGTTTTTAGAGTAAAATGGGCTAAACGTGTAATTTGGCCCAAGTGGGCTACCTATGCTATGCAGCTGATGGCCATTGGTTTTTCAACTTGTGTCCTTCTGGATAATTTCTTTCCTTTCTCCATAGGCTGTGGTGCTTTATCGGGAAGCGTTCACCAAATCCCAAGCCAAGCTAAACCGGTGTGAGGCTGATCTGAAGAAGCTTAGTAAGGAGAGAGACACCCTCAAATGCCTCTATGTGAAGAAAGAAGAGGAGATCAGGGATCTCCGAGCAGACTTGGCCCAGGATCGTAAGGAAGAGGCCGAGCTAGATGAGCAGGTAACTATCATTTTGAAAGAGTACGGTCTCAATCAACTGTGGAGGCTAATACTTCAATATCTCAGTTACAGCAAAAGCTGGAAAGGATCGAGCTGCTCCGAGGGGAAGTCGATCAGATCAAAGCCGACTGTGATCGGTGGAAGGAGAACATGGACCGCCTTGCTGCGGAGAAAGAGGCTACCTTGGCCAAATTGTCATCGGCCGAGGTCGAACTTTGGGGCGTCAAAGAGAAAAGCTCAGCCCAGGCCAAAAGGATCGAGGAGCTTGAAGCCGAGCTTGCCGAAGCTAAGGCAGAGGTCGAGAAGACAAAGATCACGGCTGAGAAGTCCATAGCCGTGTACCTGGCCGATGCCGAGGCTGCTCAAACGCAGCTAAGGGAGGCCTCTAATCGAGAGCGACGGAGCAATGACCTGGCGAAGTGCCAATCCCGGAGGGAGACCCTCGAGGAAATCCATGCTCGAGGTTATGACCTCTCTAAAGAGATAGCTCAAGCTAAGGCGCTTGAAGCTGATGCCAGGTTGCTTATCTCCTCCGATGATGGCGATGACGATGAAGGTAGTCAAGGCGGGTCGGATAACGACGAGGGGCCCGAAGGAGAAGCTGCCCCCGAGGGAGAAACCAGCCCCGGACATAGTTAGGATTTTATTTTTCCTTTTCTTTTTGTAAGACCCCTGTCGGTCCTTTGTACATATTTTTTCCCATATATATATAAAGAAACTTTCCCTTTTGAATGTCTTCTCAAATTTTGTCTTCGATCATGTTTCTTGCCTTGTAAAATTTTAGCACGATCTTATGCTTTGAACAGTGCGCTCGAGACTTTGGTTTTGGGTGGCTTCCTCGAAGTCAGCACAGTCTAGTTCAAATAAGGTTCGAACTTGAGGCATATGTGTCGAATAATGGTGAGTCCCCGAGCCATAAACAAGTCAGTTCTTATTTGGGCTCGGATAATCGAACCCTTAGGTCCGGATGAAGTGAGAACAAGATCTCGAACTCCAAGTGTATTGGACCTTAGGCTCTTTAGATTGGGCCGATATGGCCTCTAAAAGATGGCTATTATTCTCTTCTTTCGGCTTAAAATACTTAGCAAAAATTTCTTTATGCCTTAGCATGTATTATTTACCCATTGGGTTTTTTGAGGGTTCGATGTTGAATGACACCCCTCTGCTTTTTGTGCCTTAACACGTTTGTGTTAAGATAATTTGATACCTTTTAAGGTTTTTCGAGGGTTGATTTATTGAAACCCTTTTTATTATTTTCCGAGGGTAGCCTTTTTTAACCGTTTTTCAAAGAATTTCAAGGCCTATTGTGATTGCGGGATTTAGAAATCTCCGAGCTGCATTAATTTGGCTGTAGCCTTTGGGTATGACACTTGGGTTTATTCCCCAATAACACTTCGAATTTGTTCGAAGTGTTAGTCCCCGAGAATGGTGGCCTTGGCCTATAAATCGAGAAAGGGGTGCCTATTTGAGGTCTTATGAATTCGAGTTTAGATAACACGAATATGTCGACCGTCGATGACAGTCCCCGAGTGTTCGAGGTCTATTTGCGCTTGTCCCTTGAGCCATTTCTCACAAAATCATAAGTATGGGTCTCATATAGTAGAAAGCTTTCTTTGAGACACAAGATGTTTGACATAAAAAGAATGCTTCTTGAAATAATTTATACATGCGTACATGTTTTGCCCTCGGGGCTCGACTAATCTATATAGAGACGGTTCATTCGATCGTTTGGCCCATTATAAAGTTTCGCTATCGAGACCCTTTGACATGAAGTACTTTCCTTGAAAATATAACATCCGAGGGTGATGCCCCCAATATTCGAGGTTGATTGCAAAGAAGACTTGGATACTGTTGAATTTTCCTCAGGTAGCACATAATTGTTGCCTCGTTAAAAACCTCGCCGGAAAAATCCATTTGGGATAAAAACCAATCTGAGGGAAAAAGAGTGCAACGCGTGCTTTAAAACCTATGGTCCTCGTGTTGCAGAGTTTCTCGACGTCTTCGATCGAACACCTGCAATAAGTTAGTATCAAATCCAAATGGAAAGGGGAAAAGTCATACCTTAGCAATAATACCGTTTGAGGAGAGATACATTCCAATTGTTTGGCAATTGTTCGCCCTCCATTGTGCCAAGTTTGTAAGATCCCTTTCTGATGATACCGAGGACCCGATATGGTCCTTCCCAATTTGGGCCTAGATTCCCTTCGTTTGGGTCTTGAGTATTGAGGGTGACTTTCCTCAGAACTAAGTAGTTGATTCCGAAGTGGCGAAGATTGGTTCTTCTATTATAATATCTCTCGATTCTTTGCTTTTGCGCAGCCATCCGAATAAGTGCAGCTTCTCGTTTTTCATCTAATATTTGAGGCTAGTATTCATAGCCTCGTGATTTGATTCTTCCGTTGCATGTCGAAATCTGGCGCTAGGTCACATAACTTCGACCGGAATCAAGGCCTCGAAGCCATATATTAAGGAGAATGGGGTTGTGCCCATACTGGACTTTGATGTTGTTCGATATGTCCAAAGGTCTTTGGGTAACATTTCTCTCCACTCCCCCTTAGCTTCGTTCAACCTTTTTTTCAAGTTTTGAATGATAGTCTTGTTCGTTGATTCGGCCTGTCCGTTCCCACTAGGATGATATGGTATTGATAATATCCTTTTTATTTTGTGGTTCTCGAGGAATTTTGTTACCTTGTTGCCGATAAATTGTTTTCCATTATCACAACTATTTCGGCGGGTATCCCAAATCGACATACGATGTGATCCCAGATGAAGTCTATAACCTCTTTCTCTCTCACTTTCTTGAACACTTGCGCTTCAACCCATTTAAAGAAATAGTCAGTCATAAATAAAATAAACTTAGCTTTACCCGGTGCCGTTGGCAGAGGGCCGACGATATCCATCCCTCATTTAATGAATGGCCACGGGGATAGGACCGAATGAAGTTGTTCTCTAGGCTGATGGATCATCTGTGCAAACCTTTGACATTTATCACATTTTCGAACAAACTCCTTAGTGTCTTTTTCCATGCTATACCAGTAGTATCCTGCTCTAATGATTTTGTGAATCAACGATTCGGCGCCGAAGTGGTTCCCACAAGTGCCTTCATGGACCTCTCATAAAACATAATCGGTGTCTCCTGGTCCTAAGCATACTGCCAATGGTCCATTGAATGTCCTTCGATATAATGTTCCATCTTTGTCCAATGTGAATCGAGCAGCTTTGGTTCGTAGGGCCCTCGACTCTTTATGGTCCGATGGGAGCTTTTCGTTCTTAAAGAACTCAATATATTTATTCCTCCAATCCTAGGTTAAGCTTGTAGAGTTTATCTCGGCATGACCTTCCTCAATCACAGATCTCGAGAGATGAACGACAGTCCCCGAGCTGATCTCATCTTCCTCGACCGATGACCCCAGATTTGCAAGTGCATCGCCCTCACTGTTTTGTTCTCAAGGTACATGCTGTAAAGTCCATTCCTTGAAACGGTGCAAAGTTACCTGCAGCTTGTCAAAATACCTTTGCTTTCTATCCTCTCGAACTTAGAAGGTTTTGTTTACTTGGTTCAACAAAAGAGTCACACTTGGCTTCAATGACTTCTGCTCCCAAGCTTTTAGCTACCTCGTGACCCGCAATCATGGCCTCGTACTCGGCCTCATTGTTAGTCAACCTAGAAGTTTTGATAGACTATATAATAGTGCTACCCGTGGGCGGCTTCAAAATGATGCTTAGCCCGGACCCCTTCACATTCGAAGCACCGTCTGTAAAAATGGTCCATACCCCTGATGATGTGCCCGATTTTATCAAGAGTTCCTTTTCAACTTCGGGTACGAGGGTTGGCGTGAAATCGGCCACGAAGTCCGCTAGAATTTGAGACTGATGGCTATTCGGAGTAGATACTCGATATCGTACCCACTAAGTTCCACGGCCCATTTGGCCAATCAGCCCGATAGTTTGGGCTTCTGCAAAATATTACGAAGTGGGTAAGTGGTTAACACGCATATGGGGTGACATTGAAAGTATGGTTTTAACTTTCTAGAAGTGCTTATCAGTGCAAGTGCCAATTTCTCTAAGTGTGGATATCTAGTTTGTGCTTCTCCTAAGGTTCGACTTACATAATAAACGGGAAATTGCGTACCTTTCTCTTCTCTAACTAGGACACCACTTACCGCGATTTTTGATACTGCCAAGTACAAGTAAAGTTTCTCAACTGCCTTTGGAGTGTGAAGCAGTGGCGGGCACGAAGGTATCGCTTTAGTTCCTCTAATGCCTGCTGGCATTCCGAGGTCCAGGCGAAATCGTTCTTCTTTTTGAGTAGAGAGAAAAATCTGTGGCTTCGATACGATGACCTCTAGATGAATCGGCCTAAAGCAGTTATCCGTCCAGTTAGCCTCTGCACAGCTTTTATACTGTCCACGACGATGATGTCTTCGATGGCCTTGATTTTATCGCGGTTGATCTCGATCCCTCGATTTGACACCATGAAGCCTAGGAATTTGCCCGAACCGACCCCGAAAGCACATTTCTCGGGGTTGAGCTTCATGTTATATTTCCTCGAAATCTCGAATGTTTCCTGCAAATGAGCCAAATGGTCCTCTGCGCGCAGGGACTTAACTAGCATGTCATCGATATAAACATTCATTGACTTACCTATTTGTTCTTCGAACATTTTATTTACCAGGCGTTGGTAAGTAGCTCCAGCATTTTTTAGCCCGAAGGGCATCACATTATAACAATACGTTCCGTACTTAGTGATAAATGAAGTCTTTTCCTGGTCTTCCTGGTTCATTTGAATTTGATTGTACCTAGAGTAAGCATCGAGAAAGGTAAGGATCTCGTGGCCAGCCGTGGCGTCGATGATGCGATCGATGTTAGGCAGTGGAAAAGAATCTTTGGGGCATTCCTTGTTTAAATGTTTATAATCTACACACATTCTAAGTTTGTTCCCTTTTTTAGGGACTACGACTACATTGTCTAACAATTCGGGATATTTTACCTCCTGAATGGACCCTATTTTGAGAAGTTTAGTTACCTCATCCTTTATGGATGCGTGATTTGCCTCGGACTGAGGCCTTCTCTTTTATTTCACCGGTTTGAACCTGGGGTCAAGGCGTAGCCGATGCGTCGTTATCCCCGGTGGGATCCCTGTCATGTCTAAATGTGACCAAGCAAATCAATCTATGTTATCAATAAGAAATTGATTAAGCTTTTTCCTGAGTACTAGGGTTAATCCTGTTCCCAGGTATACTTTTCGCTCGGGGTAGGTGCTCGATCAATATAACCTGTTCCAACTCTTCGACCGTTGATTTGGTGGCGTCCGAATCTTTGGGAACAATAAAAGTTCGAGGAATTAGAAAATCCTCTTTTCTTCTTTCCTCTGCTTCCTCGATTCGGTCGAGGCTGGTGGATGTGATTGCTATTTGGCTTCCTGTTTACCTTTGATGCTCTGTTATGCCCCGTAATATTACCTCGATATAACGCTTTGCAGTATTAAATTGCGACGATGTTGCACCCTGTAGTATTGTACGTTGAATTTATCGTAAGGTAATTGACATCAGTCCAAAGAAAATATTATTGGAGATTATAATGATTATGCTATTTCAAATAAGTAATGAGTAAAATCGCGAATGTGAGAGGGGAAGCAA